GAGCTTTCTTCACATTTTCTAATTCTCTTGTGGACATTGGTTATTAAACACAGGGTCGTGGCCACCACTGCATTTTGTAATCACTGCCTATAATCTTGACTCCTTTAGCCCCTTTGAGATTGACAGTATAATTTCAAAGCATACAAAAGAATATTGTGAATCTTTTATCTGCATCTCTGATTTGATTACTCTTGCAGTTTCATTTTTTTTCTTTACTTGAAGGAAAAAAATATTCCTAAAGTTACTCACCTTCTTCAGGAAGTTTCTGACATATAAATAAATACCTAAGTGTGGGATCTGTGAATAGGTAACACCAATCCCTGCTGGCTTTAAAATTTGCATGATCTTCTTTAAGACGCTTGGCAATTTCTTTTAATTTTTAAGTTAGGGAAGGACGATTATATTCTCATTGCAAAAATTCAAATAATATAGAAAAATCTGGCATAAAAGAAAGTGGAAGTCTTTCAACAACCCCTAATTCTCAAATTGAGTTCTCTTCTCCAAGGGGACCACTCTGTGAGGTATGAATCTTCCAGAATGTAACCTGTGGATTTATGCACACATATGTGTGTATACCAATTACTGGGTTTTACATATAGTAAATCATCATGTACATACTTAGTAGCTTTTTTCACATAACAGTTTGTTTTGGAGATCTTCCCATGTGAGTTCCCTAATGGTGGACATTTAGGTTGTTTCTAATTATTTGCTCTTACAAACAGTGCTATAATTAACATCCTTGTAAATGTCTCTTTGTACATATGGGCAAGCATTTCTTTAGGGTAGCTATCTATGGTTTGGCAATTTCTACTGTCTTTAATTGCATTGCCTGGTATCTGGCAGACGATCTTCTGCATGTACAATAACTTTTCATGTCCGTGCTCCATTATAGCGTAAGTTTTAGAAAGATGTTTTAGGCAACAATTAGGAATCTAAGTTTAAGTTCAAATTCTGTATGGATTGCTGTGGTCAGCTGAGGTGACACTTGAATGAACAGATACCTCTATGCGTGGCTAAGTTCACACGCGTACAGGCAGTTGTTTGGGGTAGCAGATAAGGTTCCCCCCTCCCCATTGACGTTCATTGTAAGGCACATCATGATTTTTAAACCATTAAAATATGGGGAAATGCATCATAGAAATGAGGAGTTATATTTTGTTCTCCCCAGATCAATAGCCCATTGCTCCACCTCCATGTTCAAATGGTCCTTTCCCTGGGAGTTGGTACCACTGCTTCACCACCAGTTAATGTCCCGACAGGTTGGTGTGTTGCTGGGCACGCATGCTGCGTTGATTGCTTATCTATTCCTGCATTAGTTCAGGGGGAAGGCTCCCCTGTGGTCTTTTGGAGAACTTCCTGGTACATTTGTCTTTCTGTGTACTGCTCTTTCTTCTTCCCCACGCTATCCCTTCTACACTGGCTGCTTCCTTCACTGTTTGCAATCTGCATGAATTTTGCATTGCAGTGGGTCGGATGTGAGAACATCTGCAGCAGTCAAGAGCGTATTTTCCTCAGGACTTGACACTGAGCTTGCCATCAGCAAGAAGCAAAATCTCTCTCTCTACCCCCTCCCCCATCTCATTCCATGATATCTCCCAGCATTGCTGCTCCAACATCAGTTATGCCTAAGTCTTGAATGGTGACAATCTGAGTTGAAAATATGCCAGCTTTCTTAACATTATCACTAACAGACTGCTTAATTAACCTGCTGATACCATCAATAATAGATTTTGCCCATGTGTTAGAGAGAAGACCCATGGCCTATGGTTGCGCTTTCTTTATCTCTCTTTCCCCCGCCATTTGCTTAGGCTCTAAGTGTCCCTGTCACGGGAGGTAGACTTGTCAGGAGTGGGATGGGAGGGACCAGGGAAGGTTTGAAAGTGACATGACAGAATCAAAAGTTCTGGATGTAATCATGGAAATGAAATCTGTGTAACAGACTGACATCCTCATTGCTCAAAGGAAGGGGCGCCTAGTAGCCCGTGCATACAGCAGGTGCTCAATAAATGGACAGCTAGTGTTCACAGTCAATAGAAGAGATTATAAGGCATGTGCCATCTGACTAGGCTGTTCAAGGGAGAAACCTGGGGGTTGCCGTCAGTCTGAGGTGGCTTTTAGGGTTTTCTCTTTTTTCCATCCAGGCAGCGTAGATGAAAGAGGGCATCGTCACCCTCAACGATGTCTGAGGGGAAGAAGGCTGAGCCTTCTCTTCCTTTCATGCTGCATCTTTTGTCTCCAGTGGGTTTGCGTTTAAACCAAAGAACTGTTCTGTCCTGCTAGCCCTGCATTTCACATTTGGGGATTACAGAGAGTAAATGAGATGCCACCATGAGCCTGGGGCTGGCCTGCTGCTGCCTCCAAATCCACACTGCCTCCTCTTTGTCTCCCTGCCACCCACACACACACCCCACACACACACACACAAAATGGGGGCTAGAGATGTTTCAGGTGTTCCCAGCGTCCCCTGACCTGGTGTGGGCACAGGTGCGGAGTTTACATCCTGTGTGAGCTCGGCCAGCACCCAGAAATCCTGGGGAGACCCTAAATGCTGCTCCTTTCACACTTGAGGAAGCTGAGCAGGCGTTGAGGTGGCAGTGGCTCAAGTTCTTGGCGTGAGCTGGGAGCCCCCAACCTTAAGGATGCTCAATCCCCGGACTGTGTTCCTGTAACCTTGCCTTTCCTGGAATGGCGGTGGTCTTGGTGTGGAGGAAGGGCTTCTCCGCGGGCAGGGATTGATGTCTTTCAGGGCAGAACCTCCCACTGTCCAGTGGCTTTCTGGGGTGTCTTGGGAACTGAGGCCCTGGCAGCCCTGGCAGGGCCCTGGCAGGGGCGTGGGGAATGCAGAGCAGCCCTGCCGCCACTAGAGGGCATGGCCCAGCACAAAGAGGCTGGGTGCCAGCTTCTCCAGGCCACCCTGGGGGGCCCTGCTGGACCCTGAGCCCCAGTGGGGCCTGGGGCTGGCAGAAGCTCGCCTTTGGGGGTGAGTAGGGAGAGTTACAGAGCCAGCATTGACACTCAAGCCCAGAAGGCCCCAAACCCAGGCTCCCAATGCTTCCTCCACCCTGTTTCCTGCTGGTCAAATCTCCCTTACCTCAGATTCACCCTCCTAATTCTGTTCTTTCTGGCTGGGGTTAAAACAAAGTTTTCTCAGTGTCAGCGCTGTTGACATGCTGGGCCAGGTAATTCTCTGTTGTGGGAGCTGTCTTGTGCGTTGTGGGGTGTTTAGTGGGATCCCCGGCCTCTACCCGCTAGATGCTAGTAGCAACCCGCATCCCCACCCCCATATTGTGGTCATCAAAAATGTCTCCGGACTTGCCCAATGTATCAAAAAATCACCCCTGGTTAAGAGCCAGGTTTAAAACAGGTGAGCGTGCCCTCTGTGAGGCAGGAGGGGGGCAGGGCTTCACTCCAGCCACAGAGGGCCTGTCTGTGGGCTCCACTGCATGGAGCCTCACTGTAGAGATGCTCAAAGATGGCGTATGTGCTCTAAATACATTTCAGAACTGTATTTGGCCTTCTGCTTTTCTTCTCCAAAGTCTGCAAAGCCTTTCGGTCTTCCCCTCTGTTTATTCCACCTCCCCACTTATTGAAACTGGAGACTGAGGCCCAGAGACGCCGGGGTCTCAAGCCACACCTCACCTGCAGAACCCCATCCCCCAGCTGTGGGCGCCCTGGACCGCTCGGCTCCCCAGCCGTTGGCTCGGGCCCCAGGAGCATCTGTGGTCTCCCTCCCACTCCGCCTGCCCACTAGGCCCCGCCACCCTCCAGCTCCCCAAACCCTGGTGCCCCCCCACTGGAGGGAGGGGGGGAAGCAGCAGGTGTTGATGCTAATCAGCGTTCACAGCCCAGAACTGCAGTCGCTCCCAGGCTCACACACTCCCCAAAATTAAACACTCATTATACAAAATTAATTGACATTAATTAGCAAAAATTAAAACTTTAAACACAGCAAGGCGCTTTGGGGGGAGGAGTGAGGCAGGCGGGCTCTGCATTTGTCACCCCCCACTCCCCACCTGCCCACCACTCCCAAGTCCCCCCACTTCCATCCTGAAGCAGGGCTGGAGGAGTTCAGGCGAGGGCGGCACCCGCACTGGGCCTCGGGCCGGGACCCAGCCATGTGAGCCCCAGGCGAGGGGAGCAGAAATAGGCTTCCTGTGCTAGTCACCAGCCCACGGGTGGCCCCCAGACTTCAGCATCCAGTGCTTAGGTAAGGAGCAAGAACCCACCCCTCAGCCCAGGTCCCCAAGATCTCAGCTGAGGCCAGGGGAGGGGACACATCAACCATGGGAATCAAGACTATAGAAGGTCTGCCTTGAACTCCATGCCCTCCACCCTCGCATGCCCAGGTATCCAGAGGCTTAGGCACTGTAGTCTTTCTGCTCTGTCCATATTTGCTGTGTGACCTCAGATAAGTCACTCCTCCTTTCCGAGCCTCAGTTTTCCATCCATATGATGAGGGGGTGGTGCTGGGTGAGCACTGAGGTTCCTGCCTGCTCTGGCACCTGCTGTCAGGGAAGCAAATCTCTGGGAACTTGATTCGCTCTGAGGCTGTAGGGTGGATGTGGAAACTGGCATTTAAAGAGAGTGGGGCAGCCCAAGGGCTGGAGTTGCTGGTGGTGAGACATCAGGCCCCAGTGGGGATGTGTCCCCAGGCCGGAGAGCCCTCCCAGATGGGCACCACTTTGCCTGTCTGCAGCGCCCGCCCAGAGGAGAGGAGGGCAGCACCCTCGGCAGGTGGCCGCTCTCTGCACCCTGAACAGCTCTCCTCCCTAACACTGCTCTTTCCCCCTTTGCTTGCCAGGCCCCCACATCCTTTGCCAGGCTGATAGGCAGGTGGACAACAGAACCTCACCTTCCCCTCCCTCTGCCCACTGCCTTCGAACGCGGAGCCCTGTGGCTTGGGGTAGGGAAGATTGGGTGAGGGAGGAGCCCAGTGGCCTCCCCCCAGGGGAACAACATCCTCCCCTCACCCCTGCTCCCTGCACCCCCCCTCTCTCCAGCCAGCGCCAATATCTGCAACGTGGTCCTGATGCGGTACGGGGAGCTGGAGGAAGGGATTGATGTCCTGGATGGTGATGGCAACCTCGTGGGCTCCTCCAAGATCGCAGCCAGACACGTGGGTCAAGGGGCCGGTGGGGAGGCCAGCAACAGGGAGGGGATTGGTTTTCCTTGGGGCTTCTCTCCTGAGTACCATGGCTTTTTCCTTTTGATGTCTCTGCCTCACTCCACCCCTGCCTTCCATCTGCATGAGCCCCAGGCCTCAAGGTCTGGCCCCAGTGAAGCCTGTCCCCCTGGACAGTCCCTCACAGCTGTGAAACATCCCATCTCTTGTCCCTGCCTCTCTCCCAGCCTCTTAGATCACCTCACCCAGACGAGGTGTTAATTGGTGAGAGCAGGGGGGACTCCCCCAGAGCTTTTTCTTCCCCTCCCCAGTCCCCTGGGCCCTGCCTCCCTGGCCCTTCACATCCTCCTGGGTAAGAACTCGGGTGCGGTTTGTGGTTCTGGGTTAGCAGGCACTTCTGCAGGGAGTGAGCACACTGGGGTTGAGGGATTTCAGGCTTGCCAACGTTTGGAGAAGAATATTTTATCACAAGAAGACCCTCTTTCATCTCTAGTTTCACTGGTCTCGCCCTCTCTAACAATCCTAATTTTTTTAAAAAAACGCTCAGTCATGTGCACATTTCCTTGTGCCTTTCCAGCCTCCTGAGGGTGCTTAGCAGCTCATTGCTCCACCCTGGGCTCTGGCCTCTGAGTGCTGCAGTGGGGCAGGGGTGGCAGGGGTGGGGTGGGGATGTGGCTGCCAGCTGTGAGGTAGCCGAGCACCCACCCCTGGATCTGGGAAGAGCCTTGTCCAAGTCAGTGCCCTCCAAGGCCTGTGAGGGCTGAGGGCCTGTGGGGGCCATGCCCACGTTGCTTCTCTGCTCCCTGCACTGGCACTAGATCCTCCTGTCCGCCCCACTCCTGTTCGGGACACTGGAGGACCCTCTCCCAGGCCTGCCTGAGGCTGACTATAAAGGCCCAGGTTCCTGGGAGAAATTTTCATCCCTGAGCCCATCATCAGAGGGGATTTAGCCTCAATTTCCTTCCCAACACCAATCTCCTACCCAACCCTACTCTTTCCCCAGCTCCTGTGAGGAAGGCACCATGACAACTCCCCCTCATGGTGCCAAACAGCAAGGAAACCCTGGGCCTCCGTCAGCTGGGCTGGGTCAGCCCCTTGCTGTCTGGGGAAAGACTCTGGGATCGTGGGCTGTGCGCAGCTCCTGGAGCCTCCTCTGAGGATGAGGGGGAGCCTGGGGGTTTAAAGGAACTCACTGTAATGGCTGTCAAAGTGCAGAACTGCCCCTGAGCTATGCCCTTCCTGGACCGTGACACCCACCCCAACAGGAATCCCATAGGAGCCCTCAAGCAAGGATCCAGGCAGACCCCCGACAGAGACCCTACAGGTGCTCAGCAGGAGCACTTGCTCCACAAAGACAACCTCTTGTCCCCGAGAAAGACTCATCCCGAGCCAGGAGACACAAGATCAGATCCTCTGTATCTTTGTCTTTAAGGGATGTCAACTAAATATGCCCCAGAATCCGTGTCCTCCCTCAGCACCATGAGCACCATGCCTCAACAAGCCCCTGCTGTTCGTGCCAGTCCTTCCCGCCTGCCTGGTTTCAGAGCTTCTTCTCCCCAGCCCTGCACGTCCAGTCCCAGGCAGGGGAGGCTGCACCTGCCACCTCCCTGGCAGGGCCCCTTCCTGGGGCCGCTCCTGTGTTGCCACCCCTGCCCCATGTGTGGCAGGTGAGGGGAATCTGCCCTTTCAAATGTGTGTGGCAAGAAGACAGGGGTGTCTTTTTTCTGTTGTTTGGGATAAGTCTTTATGAGCAATTCCATGAATAATTCCATTCAGCCAGATGTGCTCAACAGGGGCACATACACCCAGGGGCTCCAGGCGGGGCTTGCCCTCCTGCCACCCCTGCCGCTCACCACCACCTCTGCCCGCCCCCAGGCCCTGCTGGAGACGGCGCTGACCCGGGTGGTCCTGCCCATGCCCATCCTGGTGCTGCCCCCGATCGTCATGTCCATGCTGGAGAAGTGAGTTGGGGCAGCCAGAACCGAGGGGCCGCCGTCGGGAGGAGGGCCAGAGGGAAGGGGACCAGGCTGGCCCAGGGCAAGGGCCTGGGGAGCAGCCGGCAGCCCCCTTGTTTTCACAGGGTGGAAAGTGTCCTGCTCCGTGTTCAGACGCCCCCAGGTAGGTGCCACTGGAATCGTTCTGTGGGATTTCGTGGGCTTTTACCACGCAGGGCCTGGGCTGAGTGCTGGGAGGGACGTCCTGGTGGCCAAGGCTGGCCCCACCCAGAGGAGCTGGCGGTTCTGGGGCGTGTGCATGTTGGCGTGTGCGTGTGTGTGCCCACACCCGCTCTCAGGGAACAGTGCAGGGCCATGGGGGAAGACAGAGTCCGAGGATTCTGGTAGGAAGACCCCAGGTCTGGGCCGGCAGCACCCCTCGCAGGCATCTACTGTGAGGAAAATCAGCACCTCAGATCTCTGCCTGTACGATACAGATAGTGGTAGCCCCTCCCTCCCTCGGAGGGATGTTCTAAGAACTCATATTTGTCATGACTGTAAAGAAATAAGGGAACATGACAACACGGTAGAGTGATTCTATTAATTAATGGGTGTGAAACTGAATCGGGAAGCCCGAAGCGCTGCTGGGAGGAGCGCTGAGCCGAGGGGGCAGGCCTGGGGGTTAGGGCAGACCTGGGGGGCGGGGCAGGGAGGGGTCCTGGGTGGAGGCTGCCTGGCGGTGCAGACCCCTGGCTTGTGCAGGTGACAGTGGGAACTCCCTCCCTCCCGTCCTCCTGGGGGCTTTGCCCAGTGGGGACACTTCAAGGCCTCAGTTGAAATGGGGGTGTGTAGTGTAAGGACAGGGCTGGGGCACTCCATATGGGGTTCTGGGGCAATAGATTCTCCCCAGTTTGGGGGCCTTCTCATTCCCACAGTACTAATTATCATAGAAGCTGACATTTATTAAGCACTACATCCCAGTCCTCTCTTAGTCTGGTCTCTGCCCAAATGCCACCTCCTCAGAAAGGCCCTCCCTGGCCACCCCATCAGAACAGCCACCATCACTCACTACCTCCTCTCACCCCCTACCCCCTTATTTTTCTTCACAGCACTTACCAGTATCTGTGATTATTTATCTAGTAGTATATTATCTGTCTATTCCACTAGAATATAATCTCCATGGAGGCAAGTGAATCTTTTTGCTCACTGCCCCACACAGCATCTAGCACAGTTCCTGCACATAGTAGATGCTCAGTAAGTGTTTGTTGAATGTATGAATGAGTGAGTCAATCAATGCTGTCATTTAACCCTCACAACAGTGCAATGAGGTAAGTACATGATACCCCTGTTTTGTAGATGAGGAGGGGAAGGTAAAGAGAAGTTATATCACCTGCTTAGAGTCACACTCTAGGAAATAGCGGGGCCAGGGTTGGCTCAGGACTATGGCTGCAAAGCCTGGGCTCTTGGGTCTTCAGGTCACATCATGTAATCAGCGTGTGTTGGGTCCTGCCCTGTGTGGAGACAGGGGAAGGGCGGACTTGGGGCCTGACCTCAGGAAGCCTGTATTTTTATTATAAGGGAGATGGGCAGGACCCACACACAGGTCAGCTGCAGTGAGAGCAGGCAGTTTGTGAATGGTGCAAGGTGACCTTGAGAGGAAGACTGTGGGTGCAGCAGCAGCGAGGACTATTCCCCAGAGAGGGGCTGCAGCTCACCCACCCTGAGGGCAGGAAGGGAGGGCTTTCTGGGCTGGGTATGGGCCTGTTGTGTGGACAGGGAAGAGTCCAGCCCGGCTGAAGCAAATGTGCTTGTTGGGGCCAGGGGCCCCAACAGGGACCCTATGTGCCCTGCCAAAGAGATGGCCCCTCTTCTCCCAGAAGAGGGCAGAGCCTCTGGGGTTACCTGAGCAAGGGCATGGTGCATTGAGATTTAAGAAAATTGGGTGGAGCATGGTGGCTCACGCCTGTAATCCTAGCACTTTGGAAGGCCAAGGAGGGAGAATCGCTTGAGCCCAGGAGTTTGAGACAAGCCTGAACAACATAATAAGACCCCATCTCCACTAAAAATACAAAAATTAGCTGGGTACAGTAGCATGTGCCTGTAGTCCCAGCCACTTGGGAGGCTGAGGCAGAAGGATCACTTCAGCCTAGGAGTTTGAGGTTGCAATGAGCTATCATGATGCCACTGCACTCTAGCCTAGCAACAGAGACCCTCCCTGTCCCCAAAAAAGAAAAAGAAAAGAAAATTGGTCTGATATGGAAATTTGCAACAGATCCTGGGAGAACAATCTGTGTTCTCCTGTGCCCCTGACTCTTATATATATACCCCGCACATACACCCTGGTGAACTAAGGTTGTCCCCAAATACCAGGGACTATAAGTGCATGCATGGAGACAAGGGGGCAAATGAAGAAGGCAGGGCTTTTTTATTTGAGACTGCTGAATGCTGAACCTTGGGATTGGGAAGCAGGCTCAGTGGGTACTGCTTACTCTGTCACCTGCACCAGGAGTCTGGTGAGACAGGACACTCACATAGCAAGTCAAGCAAAGCACAATTTGGCTTGGAGGGGCAAGAGAAGCCTAGGATTCACAACCAGCTGGTCCACCAAGGCTCAGGAAAGCTGCATGAGAGGATGGAGCCTCATCCGCCCATCACATTGCAACTGAGGGACCCTAAAGGCACTGCACCCTGGGTCGTATACCCTGGGGGAAATGGGATTTCTGGGCTAAAGTGTTGCAGGACATCCTGTTCTAGAAGGGGTGGGAACAGAGCCCAGGATGTTCCAGATAGTCCCTTTTTATCTCAGGATGTTGCATTCCCAGCACATCCTACAGTTATCCTAAGAACTACAAGAAGGGGGACAGGGATCTGGTTCAGCCAAAGTTATCCAAGGACCTGTGCTTCTGCAAGAATTTGTTGGGGAAAAAACATGGTCTGTGACGCTTTCCAAATTGGCATCTCAGTTGAGGTTGCAGAAAGTAGAGTGATGGTTAGTGTAGCATTGGCTTGGGGGCTTAAACTTGGCTTTGGGAGTCATGGGAAGTGGGGTGACTCTAGTCCTGAACCTTGCGCGTTTGGGATCTGCCTAGCTTCTGGGGTGCCACATAGTCTGATGCAGCTCAGTGTCCAAAGAAGCCCCCTGGTAGGGTAGTGAAACGAAAGGAGCCTGGTCCTCTGGGAGCCCTGTATTTTGTTGGTCCTTCCCTGGAGCTCTTCGGCGGGTCTCTGGGGAGAAAAAAATGCCCAGCCCAGGTTCTCCTAGGAATACCAAGATAAGTAAGACCAGATGTGTGCTCTCAAAGACTTGCTAGTGTCACATATGCCCTGGAATTGCAGGACTGAGGGGTAGGCGAGGCAGGACAACATAACAGAGCAGGCTGGGACTTCTGGTGGGAACATGAATTCTGGTTCCAGCTCCACCTCTTCCTGCCAGGCTGGCGTGGTTGTGGAGACCCCCTCAGTCTCAGTCTCCCACATGCACAAGAGGACATTGCCCCTTCATCACCTCGTTCACTGGGGCTTTGCATTTTCACCATCCAGCAGCTCTTTGGCTCTTTGCAGGGCCGGGCCCACACCCCACAGCCTCGGGGTGCAGGGACACCAGTGGTGCAGGGACACTAGCGCAGGGCCTCTGCCAAGGACGCTGGTGGGGGAGGCAGCTCCACATTTGGGGAGTCCCTGTTGAGCAAGGGAGTCAGGACAGCCAGGGAAAAAACAAAAGAACACTTACAAAGCAGCCTACTTGCAAATTAATGGAGCGCAAACTAAAGCTGAACTCCAAGTGCTGAAGGAATGCGCAGCAATGGGGGAGACAAGCTGTTGTGTGGCTGTGGCTGGGACCCGCCTAGCTTCCCCTCTGGCCTTCCCATCATCCTCTCTGGGAGGAGCCCAGAGCCCAGGTCCCTGGTTTCCTGCTGGGATAAGAGAGAGACGGGAGCTCAGCAGTGCTCAGTTGTCCTAGACTCTAAGACTGAAAGGAAGAGTCTGAAATCAGAAGCAGAGGAGCCTCCCGCACCAGCCCAGGGCACTTGGTGTGTCTGAGGGTGGCAGCCCCTCACTCTCCATATCACCGCTCTGGGGGCTGCAGGGTTCACACTCCATGCTCTCCCTGCAGCTCCAACCATGCTGAGGAAGCTAGTTTTAGACCCAGGGCTGGGATCAGCCCCCAGCTGAGAGGCAGCTGCCAGCACTGGATCAGGAGAGCTGGGGCTCGCTCACCCCAGCCAAGCATCCTTGGCCCTGGGATGGAGGGGGCCGGGCAGAGGCACCAGGCTGGGTGTAAGCTGAGTCGGGGTCCAGGCCACACCCCCCATGGTGGGTCCTGGAGTCCACTCCCCCAGCTTCCTTCCCTCTGTAGGCTCCGGGTCTTTTCTTTCTCCCAGGCTTTCGCACATCTCTCCATCTGCATATTTTAACTCCCCCAGCTGCCTTTCCCATCCCTCCCTGCCATTTCCCTCTCCTCCCCTCCCCCTGTCCTGCTGTGTTCACTCTCTGGCTTGCTCTGGGCTGGGACTCCTGAGGCTGCAGCTTTGGGCCTGCCTCCTTCTTGAGTTGGGGGCACAGGGCTGGGGCTTCCTGGACCCTTTGCCAGTGGGAACTTCAGCCAGCCACCACTGAGAAAGGAGCTGAGGTTACAGTCCCACGTAGAAGGTGGTCTGTCCAGTGTCCCTACCGGGAGATCCCAAGGACTGAGCCCATAGCCTGCCCTGCACCTGCCAGGGAGGGAGCATCACTCTTTCTCCTGGTCACCATTCCCTGCCTTTTGTGGCCTTCAGGGCTGTACCTCTGGGTACTTCACACCTTCTTGTCACTGCCACTGGAACAGAAGGGCAGACCCCAGTGAGCAGGGGCTCCAGGCCTCCTGCATAAGTTTGGAGAGGTGGTGAGCCTTATGTCCAACACTCCTTGTCCTGCTTAAGAAGCTGATCTCACAGCCCATCTCAGCCTCACTCCCGGCCCCTCCATGACTCCTAAGGAAGCCCAGGAGGCCTTGGAGTCCAGGGAGGGTGTGGGGCTGGCATGGAGGAGAGGGAGAGGATGTGGGTGGGGGGTCAGAGAGATTTGAGCTTGATTTAGGCACCTTTGTCCTGCTTTTAATCTTGTGGAAACTCCCCTCTCCAAAAGCTAAATTTAGGCTAAATTCAATAGCTCGACAGATATTGGGGTCTGGATGAGAAGAAGGGCTGGAGAACAGCACAACCACCAGGATGCTACCTCCTTCCCACAGGTGACACAGGTGATAATCACACAATACTGATGCACAGGCTGGGTGCGGTGGCTCACGCCTGTAATCCTATCACTCTGGGAGGCCGAGGCGGGCGGATTGCTTGAGGTCAGGAGTTTGAAACCAGCCTGAGCAAGAGCGAGACCCCGTCTCTACTATAAATAGAAATAAATTAATTGGCTAACTAATATATATAGAAAAAAAAATTAGCCAGGCATGGTGGCGCATGCCTGTAGTCCCAGCTACTTGGGAGGCTGAGGCAGGAGGATTGCTTGAGTCCAACAGATTGAGGTTGCTGTGAGCTAGGCTGACGCCACAGCACTCACTCTAGCCTGGGCAGCAAAGTGAGACTCTGTCTCAAAAAAAAAAAAAAAAATACTGATGCACAATTACTGAGCACTTACTGTGTGCCAGGCTGGGGCTAACACTTTACTTGCGTAGAATTTACAGGTGACTAGATCTTTGTTAAAACCTGAGCAGGAACATCCTGGGGCGGGGGTTCTCATAAGTGTGGCCTGTGACCCCACTGTAGACTCAGTGAGGGTTGTTTAAAATGGAAATTCCCAGCTCTAACACCTGGGAGTGACCCTGAACCAGGACTTCAGGGTTGTAAGGGGCTCTTAAGAGTTTGCACTTTTGACCAGCTGCCCACACTTTGAAGTTTGAGAACTGCTGCTCCCAATTTTGCTGTCTGCTCAGGGCCAGGTGCTCTTGAGAGTCTTGTCCCAGAAGGTGAGAGTGGCATGGGGTTTGCTTGCACCCCACACTTGGCCCTGCCCCCAGAGGGCCTCTCACCTGCCTCTGGCCATGGCCAGCCCTGCTCTAGGGAGGGAGGGGCAAGAGCCCGATTGTATCCCCTTCATGCCAGGAGCAGGTCTCGTGGAGGCTGACACAGTTCCTGAGGTCAGATTCAGAGTCCGCCCAGTATCCCCTGGCGAATACTCTAGTCATCCATCCTGCTGGCACCCCAAGGCCTCCCCAGTGGAGTGCCGTGGTCCCTGCTGTATTACACAAAATGGAAAGCTCTGATGAACATGGCAAAGGCATATCTGCCAGCCGCCATGGCCCCTGTGCTGTCTGGGAGCTGGAGGACCAGCGCCCTGGAGGGAGGTTTATCCTACCCCTCTCCTGCCCTCTGACGCTGGCCATGGGGAGTGGGTGCCAGCTGGTGATGACACTGCAAAGGCACCTGTAGGTAGGAGCTGGGAGCAGCTGGGTGACAACACTCTGCCTGCCTCCTGCACACTTAGCCTTGGACAAGTCACTGCCCCCTCTGCGGTTCTTGGATTGAAGTTGGTGAGGTGGCCGGTGGGGTATCTTCCATTTTCACACACAGGAGAGGATGGCGTCCTCTGCTGTGTGCTCTCTGTTTGTTGTGTTGTGGCTTGTGTGTGTGTGTGTGTGTGTATCTGTGCGCGTGTGCTTTGTCTTCTCCCCTGAACTCCGCACCTACTCCGGTTTGTTTGCTGTTTAATTATGTGCTGCCTTTGAGAGCGATCTTACTTTCCTGGGTCTCCAGGGAGCAGGGGCTCACAGCTTCTTCTCGCGTCTCTCCCATGCGTGGCCTTCTTGGCGCAGGGCTGGACACACGGTGGGCGGGTGCCCCAGAAGTGCTCATTTATGATTTGAGTAGCTGAGAGCGCTACCAGCAATGTCCTTCACGGCGGGGCCTGGGGAGAGGAGTGCCGGCCGGTTGGGAAAGGCCCCAAAGACAGAATCTGCTGCATCTCTGTAGCTGTGGGCTGGCACTGGCCCCAGAACCATGCGACCCAGGCCCTGAGACTCTGAGTGGGACTCAGCGTGGTGGCTAGTGGCCAGGCCACCCCATCTTCCGGTCTCTCCCCGACAGGACGGCTCTCCTGCAGGCGCGCCCCCGGCTGCTCCTCCCTGTGCAAAGCCTCGTGTGCCTGGCAGCCTTCGGCCTGGCCCTGCCGCTGGCCATCAGCCTTTTCCCGCAGATGTCAGAGGTCAGTGGGGAGTGGGGGCGGGGGTCATGGGCAAGGTGGGGGGCGGGCAGAGAGCCAGCGTTGGTCATTTATTACCAGATACGCAGCGCTGACTCCTCAGCACTGTGCTAGGCACTGGCGCTAGAACCCTGAACCAGACTGGCCCAGGTCTGACTACGCAGGGTTGGGGGTTGAGCAGCCAACACAGCAATTAAACAGAGAAGGGCAAATGACGTTCAGGGAGCGTTAGGGTGGGAGAAGCTCGGCTGGACATGGGAGGAGACCACACCGAGCCTGGAGGGAAGTGGCATTTCACTGAGGCCTGGAGCGTGGGCTGGAGCGGGCCAGGTGAAGAAGGGTGGGGCACACGAGGGTTGAGGTTCAGCCGGCGTGATGGTGCTGTGGTGAGGCAGCACATGGCGTTGCCAAGAGCTGACCAACGTCTGCAGCGGAGCAGAGTGGAGTGGGACAAGGGGCCGGGTGAGGGGCTGGGGCTGGGGGCATTGGGAACTCGGAAGCTGAAGCACAGAGGGTACGTGTTGTCTTAGGGGCTGTGCAGAGCAGGACACAGATTCCTGCTTTTGACTGGTCCCTGTGGCTGCGTCACAAAGCTGGGTTGGAGCTCGGGAGGAGAAGGAACCATCAGGAGGCTGTGGCGGGCGTCCAGGGAGAGATGGTGGCGGCTTGGACCAGGCTGTTGGCAGTGGGCATGGGGAGAAGTGGGTCCTTAAGAAGAGAGTCAGGAGGCAGCTTCATCGGGATGCGATGAAGAGCTGCACGTGGTGGGAGGATGTGCGCCCGGCTTTCTGGTCGTGAGCGGCCAGGCAGGTGAAGACTTCACAAGATGGCGCCTGAGTAGGGCGGTGTGAGGGAGGGCAGCGAGTGAGGTGGCTGGGCACACGAGGGCACGGGGAGGACAGAGGCCCTGGGAGGGGGCCAAGGACAAATGGCCAGGGAGGAGAGGGCAGAGCCAGGCTGAGAGGGGTGAGGGTATGGACGGGCCGTTCACAGGGTCAGCCCTTCTGAGAGGTGGAACTCCGCTATGTGGCTAAAGATGTCTCAGGTGATAAAGACAAACCCTGTCCCTGAAGGTCCAGGGCCGAGGTGACAAGTGAGGCTTGGAATTGAGGGGAAAAGAGAAACAGGCCCACAGCTGGAACAAGATGTGGGACTGAGAGAGGCTTTTATTTATTTATCTTTCCTTTTTCTAAACGGGAGAGACTGGAGCTGGTATAAACATACAAGAGAAGGCACTGAGAGGAGGACGTTGGGGGACTAAAGTCCATGAAGAGGGGGTGGACCAGAGCTCTGCAGGGGGAGTGCCCCTCCCCGCAGTAATAGGCGGAAGGGGGGCAGATGGGCTGGGGTGGGGTTCAGGGCTGGGGGGGTTGAGAGAGTTGTTCTGATGGCTTCTGTTCTTGTGATAGAGCAGAGAGGACAGTGGGGGTGGGACAGGGGTCTGATGACTACAGAGGAGGTTTGAGACATCCAGAGGGAGGGTGCGAGACAGCTGACCCAGGAAGTCCGGGGTGCCTGGTGGGTGGTGGGAGGGGCCACCCAGGGGTGTGTGGCAGGGAGGGCCACAGGGTCCTCTCTGCTAGGGTTTCGTTGGGAGGAGGGATTCGGGACTTGGGTGGGAGGAGAGAGGAGCAGAGAACCATGGGCTCCAAGCTGGCTGGGCTGGGCGTGAAGGTGGTTGACAGGAGGGTGTTTGGAGAATCTGAGCTCATGAGGAGATGGGGGCTGGGCCAGAGGAGGCTCTTCTGAGTCTGTGGTCTCAGCACTCCCCCTGCTCCAGGTAGGGCCCCCAGGGAGGCAGTGCAAGGGGTTAGGGCTCCTGGAGGGGGCCTCGAGGAGGTGAAAATAAGGGCTTGGTGTGTTGGGGCCATGAGGGCTGGAGTCCCAGGGTCTTAGAGTAGGAGGGGGTGACCTGCCTCAGGCCACAGGGTCCCTGGAGGGTGAGAACTGGCGTAGCTTCCCTCCAGAGCTCCAGAGTTCAAGGGAGAGACTCTGGCAGGGCAGGGGCTCCTGTCTTGGGGACACCACCTGAGGCACACTAGGACAGTAGCCTGGTGTGTGCTATGTGCCAGCAGGACCCTCATCTGCCCACAGGCCCAGCCGTGTCATGGAGACTAGGGTGCTCCTCCTGCTCCACTCCCCCGGGAAAGCTGCAGCCTGGGAACTCCACACGGAGCCGGGAGCTGCAGGTTGCCCACAAGTCCTGATAGTGGGAGGGAGGGTATTTCTCAGTGGTCTCTGGCACCCTCATGCCCAAAGAGCTGGGCCTGGCACTCCCTGAAGCCATTGCATCTCTGTGCAGCCAGCCTGAGCCTGAGGTTCTAGGCCAGCATCACAGTCACTGTGTGATTATAGACTCCACTGTGCTCAGAGCTTCCGGTAGCTCTCATGGCTCAGGGGAGGGACCCAGGGCACAGAAAACCCATGATATACAATCAGAGACCATGCAGGTTGGAAAGATTTTCAAGGTCATCCAGTTTACCACGCTCCTGGCTCTGTGGGGGAAATGGATGCCCAGAGCAGCCACGGGACCAGCCCAAGGTCACAGAAACCAGGTACTGATGGGAAAGGAAATCCCAGAGGTCCCACACTCCATGTCCAGAGCCCCTAGGAAATGCTGCATCTGATTGTTTGCCATAACTGATTTTCTCTCCTCACTCAGCCTGCCATGGGCAGCTGGAAGAGGAAGGAGATGGGGGCTGCATTGCAGGGGGGGGAGGGTCTAGTGCTGTGTCTTTGGCAGGTGTTGTTCTGGGGCAAATAACACAGCAGTGGCAGCTCACCTACCCTGGCCACCAGCCCTGGCTGCAGAGAGGTAGTCAAAAGCGAGCTGCCTTGGCCTCGCAGACGCTGCATGTCCAAGTCCAGGATCAGCTCTCCCCTCGTGCCTGCCTCAAATAGGCATGAAGTTAGCTCTCCTGGGTATCTAACCAAAGCCCCTCTTATTGCAGCCCAAGCCTCTTTCTCCAGATTGGGCATAGTATAGTCATTACATAATAAGTCCTCATCCTTTGGGAAGGGAGGGTGGAGGCACGATTTTCAGAGCTCCTGCCCCAGCTGCATGGGCCCCAACAGGATGCAGGCTGGCCTGGGCATCATGGGGTGTTTTAGGCCTATCTGTGACCCATGGCACCAAGGCCATCTGCCAATTGGCTGAGAGGACCTCGCTCTCCCCATTCACTCTCCCAATTAATTCTCTCTAATGAGGAGCTCCCTTTGCCATAGGGGGATCATGTCTCATCCCAGAAGCCAGTGGGATTTGCCACAATAAGTCTGGACTTGCTTGGGCTGACCTACTTGCCAAAAGCCACCAAGGTTGTCAACAGAAGTAATCGCTAGAACGCTAATTAATTAATTAGGGGACTTGGAGATAGAGTTTAGGAACTAGTTCCTAGAATGGCTGGCCTGTAGTGATTGGTATGGGGTTTCCAACTCACTAACTACAGAGGGTGAGGAAAGGACTTCAATCCCCCCCTTCAATTCCTAGGAGAGAGTTTTGTCTGCTATTTTTCAAATTAGTAGTTCTGCCTATTGAAATGGTACTGAGGATCCAATAGTAATAATGGCTACCATTTACTGAGCATCTTTAGATGGGGCAGCATGCTGGAGACCTTATTGTGTTAGGTCCTGCTAATGCCCTTCAAGTCCAAAGTGTTAATGATTATCAAGGGACGTATCCTAGACAGTCAGATGTATGATTCTAGACTCTGGGAAGAGATTCTGTCTGGAGATATGGAACTTTGGTGCATATTCGGGAATTGAAGCTGAGAAAGTGGGTGAGGTCACAGTGGGGGTGAAAAAAAACCATCACGAAAAGGACAGAACAGTCAAGGGCAGGGAGAACCAGGAAGGAGAGGCTTCATGGAAGCCGAGGATGAGGGCATTGCAAGGAGGAGGGGGCCCTCTGCCCATGAGCTGCTGCAGAGGGGATGAGAAGTTGTCAATGCGACTTGGCAACTGGGTGGTGTAGCCAGATAAGGCAGTGTGGAGGCAAAGGGTAGCTAATTTTCTCTCTTTGTCCAGAGAAGTGAGCTCAGGGATGAGAAATGGTAGGAGAACAGCAAAGAGCCTGTGAGATGGAGGTGGGGGCTTGGAGAGAGGGCGGTGATGGGGAAGGAATGCCCATAGCCCAAGGCGGGAAGGCATGGCCTCCGTGGAGTCCATGGGGCCAGAGGGTAGAGAAGCCTGGGTGGCTGCAGTGGGGAAATGGGGGCCCAGAACATGACAGTCCTCCGAGGTAGGTACCAATATTCCTTGTTTATAAATGAGGAAACCAAGGTACATTAAGGTTAAGCACCTTGCCCAAGTCCAAAGTGGTAATGGTGGAGCAGGCTTTGGACCCAGGCAGGACTCTGCTCCCCTCCCTGGCCCACCTCACTATCAAAAGAGGAGGCCCAAGTCTGAGTCCCAGACTGCTTGCTGCTTATTCATCAGTAGAATATTCCAGTGCCCTCCTGCCCATCACAGGGAATCGTGAGCATGTTCATGGGGACCTTTTGGAGTAAGTGCATCTGTGTTTTCTAACCCAGAGCTGAGGAAGGGACACAGGGAGTCTAGAAGGCCAACAGGTAGGATCGGGAGCCTCTTTATAGGTGTGAGAACTAGGGAGCAGGGTCTGGGCTCCCTTTTGGGCCCCATCCCATTGCACACGCAGGGAGGGGATGGGCCCTGTGACCCGGAGGTCAGTGCCACAGTGGGCATCAGCCAAGGCCCACCCAGCCACCCTGTGCCCAGGCATGGGTGGGCCCATGAATCTGTACCCAGAATCTGTCCACTACCCCATAGAGTTCGAGTGCTTTCCCCTTCTGCTTGTAACCAGCATGGCCATGTCAGCCCCTTGGTCTCAGGGAGCCTCCATTCTGGTGGTGGGGGTAAAAACTCATTAAACAGGCTGTGTTAGGTGGCAGGGCGGGCTGTGTGCCGTACAGCTTTCTGTCAGATTGGCGGTAGAGGCCTCCCTGTAGTGTGGTGGGGCCGGATTTTTGGTGGCCTTTCTGGCCCTG